AGAAGGGAGGGAGAGAGGATGGAAGGGAGGGAGAGAGAATAGGAGGGAGAGAGAATAGGAGGGAGGGAGGATAGGAGGGAGGAAAGGAAGGCGTAACAGATTATTTTATTAAAGGTTCAGAAGTCACAATACCATGGATAGAACAGTTCACCAAAGGCCCGCACTGAGGAGAGGAATCTAACCACAACATTTCGATCCGTCCTGGACCATTGTAAAGTGTTACAACTGGGGTAAGAAAATTAGAGAAGGCCTAAGGCCGTTTTGGATTTAGGCCTTTTCTGTACTTTTCTCACTCTCCGGTTGTAACTTGACAATGGTCCAAGAGGGATCGAAACTTCGTCACAAGGTTCTCTTCTAGGGTCGGAGTTTTGTTGAAGAAATTATTACAGTCACAGGGAAGCGATAAACCTGGTCATGCAGCAACTGGGAAATAGAATTCAATCGGATCTGATTCAAGATGTTAAATCTAATTCCTTGGATCAAGAGTCTTTCACCTACATCACAGTCTTCCCTCTTGAAGTGGAAGTGATAGACTGAGGAAGTACAAGGGAGAGACGACAGGAGACCTTGCTGTTTGTGGTATTCGTACTCAGGCCAACGTATGCACCACAGCCCAGTTAATCAGGAACTTGAGAAAAATTCCATCTTGATGACACTCTGGGGCTTGTTGGTAATTCCCCTTATGCATGAGGGGAGAGTGAGGCAGAGTCTTGTTGCAACATTCACCACCTATGCTTCACACCCACATAACAGCGTTGGTACCGCTATACCGAGGCGTCCGATCTGGAAAAAACTGTAGAAAAAAAAAACTGTAGAAAACTTCTACTTCCCATATACATTCAAACATCTGAACTACTGGGAGTGCTTGAGATCCTTTCAACTGTATTTCATGGAATGTGGGCGAGAAAGGTGCACCATAATTTACACTTCGAAAAATCTGGAGGAACTAGTCCTAAACCTGCACACCGAAATCACTATTTATGAAAGCAATTGACTTGGCAGACAGTGCAAAGTACCTTCATGAGAAAGCATAGGCGCGATAAGTACACTAAGAGAGAACTCGACAAGTGTCAGAAGTCCCCGACTTTTCAACGCTCTCCTTCCGTGAATAAGGGCAATTACTAACAAGCCTCCCCCCGAGGAAGGTTCCTTGACGTTGGTGAGGGGCTCTTGATCTAGAAAATTGGATCTGCGCTACAGTTCCCTGAATTAAGCCTGAATACCTTCCATCCCCCTTCCCCCACAGGTGCTGTATAATCCTACGGGTTTAGCGCTTCCCCATGATTATAATACTAATAAGCCTCTAGCTGTCTTCAAGAGGAAACTTTGATAAGTTTTTCCAGTCAGTTCCTGATCAGCCTAACTGTGATGTATACATTGGGATTGCATGCGGCCTGCACCACCAACTAGGTCTGGGACTGGACCACCGGGGCGATCACCCCCAAAATTGTTGTAAGACGAACAAGCAGGTGATGGTGATCGTTTTGTCCATCCTTCCCAACAATCTACATCCTGTCTTCCCCCCCTTTCCTCTACATCCCCGGCGAGTGCAACAATAAAAGCTCTAGGAACGTACGTCCTCTCCCCCAGTTTCTCTCCATCAACATCCTTCACTAACATCCTCTGCCAGCATCCTTTACCAACATTCTCCATTTACAACTAATCCATAGTTTGGAGAGGAATTCTTAAAAGACGTTTTGGTCAATCCTGGCCCATTATCAATGGTGGCCTGAAAATAGTACAGGATGAACCAAAGCGTCGTCTGAAGTTTCCACAAGTAGGTTACTTGTCAGTTCAAGCCAAAGTGTTGTGGGTTATTTGTTAATTTGTTCCAGCCACATAGTAATGTGGATTATTTGTCAGTTGTTCCAGCCACAGTGTTGTGGATTTTATTTTTCATTTCCCATCACTGTTATTTATTCTTGTTTATCTTGAGAATAATTTCCTTTGCGTTTTTATCAGGCTGGCTGACGGAGTTTAAAGCCTATCGACTACACAAGGGTCATTAAGGCTGCTGTTACCTGTTCACCACCAGTCAAGAATACTTTAATACCTAAAATAGGGATTAAAATCTGAACGTACATACAGTGAATGACACAGATCTCCCGGTTTATCGTGTGTATGTCCCAGCAGTAATGGCTGCAAGTCCTTAAAATTTATTGGCTATCTTGTCATGCAAATGTGTTAGTTGCAGTGTGAAAGTTAAGCAGCATACATCTTTATGCCCCTCCGGTTGTATAACTTAATGTATCTCCTTTGCCACTGTAATAATTTATTATAACTAATTCGTTATGAGTCACTTGCCTAACATGGGCCATTTGGCCTATTGTTAGTGCTCCACTATTCCTATGTTCTTGTAACTCATTAGTTCGTTATAACTCGGTAGTGTGTTATAATCATCATTTCGTTATAGCTCATTAGTTCGGTGCGGTGATATTCCAGACACGCAGCCAATAAATGGTGGTTGATTTGCCAATTTCACGTTGCCTGGCCTCTCACTCTGCCGCCTCATCAATATTCCTCCATAACTATGTGTTTACATCAAACACTGCCACTTTGATGCTGCTATCGCAGTCTTCACATCAATTACACTACCTGTCTATAACGTAAGACAGTCTTGCCACCTAGGGATCACGACCCCACCTTGGCATTGTTGCAAGAAGTTGGTGGGGAGAACCTGGAGTTGGTAATATTGTTTTTGTTAATATAACAAAGATTTCTGTGTTTATGCAAATGTTTTTAGAGTTTTCTTTACCCCTCTGAGAGGTGTCTTGATGCCGGTGAAGGACTATTGATCCACTTAAGAATATTCTAAACCCTGGATCAAATCGATTACCTCCCATTCTTCTGGCATTGTATAACCCATAAGGTCTTAACGCTTCCCCATGATCATAATGGGAGGAAGAGAGAGAGAGAGAGAGAGAGAGAGAGAGAGAGAGAGAGAG